TTTTTATCATTTATAAATATATATATTATTATAAATATAATTTTGCGATATTATATACATAATTGAAACGTAATTTTTATTCTCAATTTTGGTTCGATTAACGATATTATTTTTTTTTCTGTTTTATCTTTAATTTCGAATGTCGAGCGAAGTATTCGTGATCGGACAGCGCGCTATTTTATCTCTAATAATAAATTTTTTATACAGTTTAAATTTGACCAAAGATATCTGGCCAAAGATATCTTTTCTGCACATCTCTACATCGCGTCAGCGAGTTCACTGAAATTAGAGCAATGATTTGATTCCTTCGTATGCCAAATGCAATATTTAGTATTAAATTACTCGTACCGAGAGAGAGAGATTCTAGAATAACTGTCTGCACGTATCGATCGGATTATTTCGAGATGTAACACTTGCATCTCAGATAACTAAGTTCTATCGATTTAAATTGTCGCTGCTAAACTTCATAGTGCAGTTAATTTGGTCTGTAACGGCACAAATTGGATACATCGAAATTATCTTCGACGCATTAATTTAATTTTTTTCGATACATCACGTGGCGAAAAAAAATCGCATTGGAAAGGATAATTTTACTCGAAAAAACATATTTTTGATTTTGATAATAAAAATCTGCAATGTTAGAATATAAATAAAAAAAAAGTTATTTGTTTAAGATTAACGCGATAATTTATGTGTTTAGAATTCTACTCAATCTTCAGTTTGATTTAGTGCAAATATCAACTCGGTAATTTGCTTCTTCCATCTTTAGAATGTTCGCATGTAATCAACTTGATTGCAAGAGTATCCTCATTTTCCGTAGGAAAATCAGTGAATTAAAAGAAATTTCTATCTTGTGAAATTATAAATTCCTCACGCTAAGATGTAAACATACGGTTGGCCGGAAATGCGGTTTTGCAGCGTTTTTTTTCTCTTTTTAATGTTGCGAATCGTGCACGATCGCAGAAATGAGCATGTCGCGTATCTGTACGTATTCCGGCGACTCACCGCAGTTTGCCAGACTGTGGAAACCGGGAATTTCATTGTTAATACAATATTATGTAACGCGCGCACATACAGTTCGGAGGAAGATGTGCATCGTGCACTTTAAATGGCATGCGAGCAAAAGAAAAAGAAAAAAAAAGGAAGGAAGAAGGAAAAACGGAGAGGAGACCAGCCGCGAGAAAGGATCAAGGTCCTTTGTTGCATTCCCGTTTGATAAATCCAGCGTTCCAGTAGATCGTTCGAAAGATGAGAGAAAGCAAACCCCAGAGTGTGGTGCGCTCCTCGGGATTGCGTCAACGCGTAATTGCAAGACCAATTCGCTCCAAAGGCCCTTCTTAAAGTGAGCAAACGTCATATTAACGGAATTACTTTAAACGCCTTCATATATACATATCTATTGTATACATATATTTTGGCAACTCTTTTTTTATCATTCATTTATAAATATATATATTA